CCCCTGCACCAACCACCAATGTACTGGTTACTCATATAATAGACACTCGACTCCCTGAGATCCAGATTTCCATGTGCTAAACAAGTGATATGCAGTGACTTTAATGAGTTAGACATCAGTAACATCACCCAACACCGCTACCTTGCACAAATAGTTGACTTTCCAACACGTGGGAATGCCACCCTGGGCTTCATTATGACTGATCTCAGTAACCACTACCTTCCCTCCCAGCCACTGCCTCCCATGAGGCGCAGCCCCCACCTGTCTCTACTGTGGTCACCTACACGTACCATCTCACGAACGCCAATTGTCACCAGGACTTACTGACCTACCCCTGACTCTGCCATGCGGCGTTTCGGACAATGGGTGACCCGGTATCCCTGGACTGAAGTGATCACGGGAGACGATGTGCAGAACAAGTGGGATAATTAACTGGACACTATCACCAAAGCCTACCACCACTTCTTTCCAGCCAAGACACTGAGGATCCACCCCGATGATGCCCCGTGGATTACACCCCGTATCAAAAGACTAATTGAGCAGCGCAACAAGGCATACTACACCAACAACCGCCTGTACAAAAGTCTACGTAACCAGGTCATCAGGGAAATCAAGTCAGCCAAGTAGTCTTATTATCCCAGGAAAGTGCACAGCCTCAAGGAGGTCGGCTTCAGTCAGTGGTACTCCAAGGTAAAAGATCTCTGTTGTCTTAACCTTCAGTCTCCCAAGCTTCCTTTCATCTCTCATTTACCTAGTGAGGAGACAGCCGAGATAATTAATAACCACTTTGCTACCATATGTCATACCCTACCCAGTCTTGACCTCACTCTCCTCCCGGCTTAATTACCTTCCCCCTCCCCCCCTCTCAGTGTTCAACCGTTTGAAAGTGACAACACACTCCTGAAATTTAAATGCAAATGCTCTACAACCCCAATTGACCTCCCAATCGAAATTTACAAGGAGTTTGCAGTCGAACTTGCCACGGCCCTCCGTTCTATTATTAATGCATCCCTCAGACAAAGCAAAAGCCCTAATGAATGGAAAACTGCATTTGTCACCCCCATCCCCAAGGTCCCCACCCCACAGTCCCCTAACGACTTCAGGCCAGTTGCCATTACTGCCATACCCAGTTTGCTCTGTGAAGACTGTTTTTGAGTGGGCATTTGCTCGTATTTATCAGTCAATTGATCCACAGCAATTTGGCAACATGAGGACCTCCTCTACAACACACTGATTAGTTAGTTTCCTGGATTTCTTGCACAAAAACCTGCAGAAACGTAAGACACCACTGGCCGTTGCCCTTGTTAACTTCAGGAAGGCTTTTGACCTTGTTGATCACTGCACTGTTATCAACAAAGCCATTGCACTGGTCTCATTGCTTACCAACTTCCTGAGTGAGTGTCGTCAGGCAGTCAGGTACCAGGGTTCTGTCTCCACATTCCAACACCTCACCTGCGGTGTTCCCCAGGGGACCAAGATGGGACCACTGTGCTTCCTAATCCTGATCAACGACGCTCTGTCAGACACTCCTCACAGGTGGAAGTACATGGATGACTGCACTGTGGGGGTTACAGTGAACAACACCTCACCGGACTACTCATCGCTACAAGGCACCCTGGACAGGCTACAGGCATGAGACATACATCATTATGTTTTCAATGAAAGAAATGAGAAATGCCCTCTCACTCACTGATATCCCATTTTCAATGCTCTGCCACCTTGAATTTGAGGCACAGACCTTTCTATTGGAGCTATAAAACAGGATCTGGCAAGAGGGTGCCTTCCCATCCTCATGGCGGGAGACAAGTGTTCTGCCTTTTAAGAAGACTGGAAAGGAAAGTCTTCACCCACTAGAATATCGTCCCATAGCTCTGACCTCCTGTATCTGCAAGCAGTTTGAAAAGATGATATAACTCGCAATTAGTATACTACCTGGAAAAGAATGCCTTTCTTTCACCAAATCAGTCTGGCTTACGGAAGATGCATTCAACAACAAATGCTCTAGTTCGTCTTGAGTCCTCGGTCTGTAAGGCTTTTGCTTGTCGCCAGCATCTACTCTGTGTATTTTTTTTCGACGTACAGAAAGCATACGACACAGCTTGGAGAAGGAGCTTCACAATTTGGGATTGCGGGGAAATTTACCCTTAATAATAGGTCAGTTTTTGGGACATCGCACTTTTAGGGTCCGCACAGCCACAGAAATATCAGCACCACATATTCAGGAGGATGGTGGTCCTCAGGGTAGTGTCTTGACTGTGACCTTATTTGCCATTGCAATAAATGGGGTAGCAGCATCGGTTCCAGGTAGTGTATCAATCTCATAGTAAGTAGAAAAATTGGCTTTTGGTATGCAGCTTCCCACATGTCAGTGGTTGAATATCGCATGAAACTTGCACTAGTGACTAGACAAGGTTTCACGTTGGACCACAGAGCATGGTTTCAGACTTTCTCCCTTGAAGACCGGTGCCATGCATTTCAGTTGTCTTCGAGACCTACAAGTCTATGGTCATCATGTGGAGTGCATCACAGAGACCCATTTCCTGGACATTATCTTCGACAACCAGCTTACAGGGCAGCCACATATTCGTTACCTCAAAGAGTCTTGCCAGCGTGCTCTCAAGTTATTGAGAGTCTTGGGGCACATGTCATAAGGTGCTGACCGAGGAACTATGCTAGACCTTTACCGCATGAGTTAGACCCAAACCAGATTATGGGTGTGAGGTGTTTTCCTCAGCCACTGAGGCTAGACTCAATACACTGAAATCAATTCATCATGGTGGGGTGCGCCTGGCAACCAGTGCCTTCAGGTCTCTGCCAATCCCAAGTCTACAAGTTGATGCTGATGATCTTCAATGACAGCATCTCCAAGTCCAGAGTTGGTTTCACCTCCACAGTCTTCCACAGTTTGTAACCAACACTTGTGTAGTTGATGAGAGACTGTCCCCACACTACACTCAGTATACAGACCTCCCATGACCTTTTGGTTTCAGGATAAAGGAAGTCGTGAGAATTCTTTGTCATCCTCCTGTTAAAGATATGCCCCATGCAGTTCCCTAGTGCCTCTTTGTGGATTCTCACTGAAGTTCAAGTTTGACAGTATTTTAATGAAAGGAAGGACTTACTCACTCCCTGTCCATTCTCTTTTTTTAGAGCATGTCTCCTCTCACAGGGGGACTATTCCTGTATACACCAACTGCTCTAAGTCCGATGCAGGGGTGGGTTTTGGGGTGGTCATTCCCGATTTATGTCGGGACGGTAGTTTCCCCACTATGGCATCTATTTTTACTTCAGAGTTTTTGGGTATTTTACTTGTCCTCAAGATTATTTTTACCCAACCTCATAACGATTTTACAGTTTTTAGTGACTCTCATAGTACTCTCCGGGTCTTAGCTAATGTCTCATTGCAACATCCCTTATTAGGTGCTCCTCTACTTAAGAACGTTCATCTTACAAACTTTCAGAGATACAAACATCATCGCTGAGGGGGGGTTACCTGCCAGAACAGGTGTTTAATGTGGATGAGACTGGTTTATTTTGAAGAAAATACCAGAAAGAACAAACATTGCCTAAGAGGAGAAGAGTGAGCCAGGTTTTAAGGCTGTATTAAAGGGTATAGCTGTACTAAATATCCACAATCTTTTAATTTTTTGCAATATGTTTGGTATCTACAAGAGAAAAGTTGGACTTACAAACAAGCCTCAGGAACGTAACTCGTTCGTAAGTAAAGGAGCACCTGTATAAATATTTTACAGTGGCTATTTCTCATCCAACTTCAGGGCCGGAAAGTCAGTTTCTGCTGGGTTCCATCCCATGTGGGGGAGAAGGGGAATGAGTGTGCTGATGCTGTGGCAAAAGCAGCTATTTCTTTCCCAATGGCAAGTCCTTCCCTCTACCTGCCTCTGATATGAAACCACTAATATGAGCTGCCATCTGCTCGAGTTGGAAATGCAGGTGGGATGCTGTCGGAGTAAACAAGCTCTGCAACATCCATCCTGCATTGGGTACCTGGGGATATCATGGACTGTCACGCCACCAAGAGACTGCTTTGGCCTGCCTCCACATTGGCCACACATAGCTGACTCATGGTTTTTTAATGGAGATAGTACCCCCTCCCCATTGTGATGACTGCCTGGTCCCACTGACTGTTTGACATCTCTTGATGGAGTGCCCCAGTCTCAAGATATCTTCGTTGTAAACGCCTCTCCCGGTGCCAGGGGGGAGACGGGTCTTGTCATCTTTCTTAGGTGCTGGAGGAGGGAGTGGGAAGCGTGGTAGGGAACGTCCTTTCCTTTGTGGAGGAAGACGCCCTTCTACACAAGCTTTGAGTTTTATTTCTTAACCTTTAAATTGCTTTTAAGAATTTTTTGTTATTTATTGTGTTTTTAGCTTGCATTATTTTATTTTAGTCTTTTAAGCTTTAATTTTAATTTGGCGACATATGACCTAAACTGTTGCATTGCCAGGGATGCAATTACCACAATCAATCAATCTTCTCCACATAAAGTTTTATCTCTTTTTTATTGTTGATGTAATAGTGTTTTACTACCTTGTCAAACACTTAAAGACCTTAGTTGTTGAAGTGTAGTAATAACATTATTACAACTGATTTTCTTGAAACAGTCCAGATAAGCAGTGTTACATTCAGACCCACCCCCCCCAAGATTTGCCTTTTTTCCGAATTTCGCATTTTCCGGACTGGGGTCTGCCCCAATTAGTCCAGTATATCGAAGTACCACTGTATATTGTATTCATGTTTAAGTTTCTGTTGTTAAATATGGTGCTCTGTTAGGTCTTCTTCACTGATGCTGTTGTCCTACATATCTTTGCATATTATACCTTGAATATCATTCTATTATTTACATGAATTCTAAATTCCATTAATATAGCACTTAAGGCAATTTCAATTATAATCTAAATGAGGATAAGTGAACAGAATGCCAGAATCTCAGGCAGTATTATCATAATAAACAGATGTATGGTAGACCTATACTATACTGTACCTGCAAGCCAACATTTGCTAATATGGTTGGCTGAAGATGAGTGGGAGAGCGAGTGAAGGCATGAACAAACTGTCCTGGCTCCACTTCTGTCACAGGCATTCTTCTCTCCAACATCATCAAAGATAAACAGTCTCCATGAGTTTCTCTGTCAAGGTAAATACATACAGTATCTTATAATGTTAAATGATAAGTTCAATTATTAAGAATTCATATGTGAAAACCTACTTATTTGTGAATACAGGTTGACAACCCTTTATCCGAAATTCCAAAAACCGAAAAGCTAAAAACCGAAAGTTTTTTTGGGATTTTTTTTTTTTTTTTTCAGATTATTAGCCCACCCAGATCATCACTGATCATCGGGGCCTGGGGGGCGAAAATGAAATAGAATAATAATTATAATAATAATAATTATTCATGGTAAATAAAAATTTTAATAAAAATACACCAAAATAAAATAATAATGATTACAATAATAATAATAAAATATAATAATAAAATTAATAATAATAATACTGTAATAATAAAATAATAATAATACAGTAAAGAAATACAAGAATGAAAAAAAGATCAAAAGTGAGAAACACGACCTAGACCTATGAATTATTATTATTATTATAATTTTTATTATATTTTCGATCCCCAGGCCCCAATGTGGGTTAGTGATCTATGCCCGGGTAGGCTAATACAAATTAAAAAAAAAAAAACCCTAACCATTCTCAAAACCGAAAAATTCCGAAAACCGAAATGCCTCTGGCCCCAAGGATTTCGGATAAAGGATTGTCAACCTGTAACAGCCACTCCTCGACTTATGACGGGGTTAGGGACCCAAATCCAGGTCGTAAGTCGAAAATGCTTCGATAATACATAGAAAATCTAAAATGGGTCACTTTTTTCTTCTCAGCACCACAAAACTCTCACTTTTAAGCTTCCCAGCCATTTTAAAGGGAATTACAAGGAAAAATTTTGTCAGTACACAGCGCAATCACTAACATCGACCTCGAAAATGCGTAATTTCAAAACATTTTCGTACAAGTGGGGCGGTCAGACGTCCGGGTGGTCGTAAGCCGAGGAGAGATATATATATATATATATATATATATATATTCTTCACACGTAACAGATGGTCGGCCGTCCCTCCCTCCCTCCCTCCCCCACCACCAACGTCCCTACTAGATAAATGTGTGGGAATACCAGACTGTTTACCTTTTTAGTAATAAATAATAAATCAGACTAAAGTTAGATAATATAATTGACATTGCTGGATTCTTGTAAGACCAGAATATTTTGAATATAAATATCATATATTTTGCACAAAAGATAACATATTTACTCAAGAGTAAACATTATATCTAAAATTTGTATGTCTAATGCAAAATCTATGATGTTTATATTCAAAATGATCATCAAATTGTAAGAATTCCAGCAATGTAAATTATATTCTGCCGGATAATTTGTATGAATTTTATGAGCTAAATTAAAAAAATTATACTTCACCTTGTGAAGGGTACACCCATCATGAATGTGAGCATCCTGGGTTCTGTAGGGCACTGCCAGAACGTGAAAACGCGGAATGTGTGTATATATATATATATATATATATATATATATATATATATATATATATATATATATATATATATATATATATATATATATATATATATATATATATATATATATATAATTAACGAGCTCACCAGCAGGAATCAACCTCGACCTACTGGGTGTGACTAGGAGCGCACTGGCAGGCCACAAGGACACTAAAAGCAGTTCTAGACTCTGTTATATTTCACACAAAGCCTGTTCATCGAGCTGATGGCGCTGCGGAACCTCAATGGGAAACTGCCCGTGCCTCTTATGGTGTCAGTAGCATTTTACCGAATCCAGCTGGTATGAAACGCGAGGTACATATATATACTTCATTTATAGTCCATATAACACAAGAGGCAAGCCCTATTGAGGTTCACGCCATCAGCTCGATGAACAGGCTTTGTGAAATATAACAGAGTCTAGAACTGCTTTAGTGTCCTTGTGGCCTAGCCGTAGCGCCCCTAGTCACACCCAGTAGTGAGGGTTCGATTCCTTGCTGGTGAGGTCATTGATTATATGTTCAAAGTCCGCGGTTATATGGACTAAAAATGAAGTATATATATATATATAGTGGTACCCCACTTAACGCGTCAATTGAACCCAGAGGGTCCCGTTAAGTGAAAACCGCTGTATGAATAACAGAACATATGGGATTAATTCCAATAGAACCCAGCCCGAATTCCCAAACTCCACTTTTGACGACAAATAACTATGTTAGTAAAAATAACATCTTAATTTTATGATGGTACATGCACACAATTAATACTTAAGAGAAATAGAGAAATACAGTCGCCAAGTTAATGTCCATTCAAATAATGGACTCAACTCCTCCTCTTCTCTTCTCACACTCACTGGCTCTTCCTCTGAGAAATTTTTGGGGAAAACCAGGTATAGTAATAAATAATTCCTCAAACTAAAGTTAGGATAATATAATTGACATTGCTGGATTCCTTGTAAGACCAGGAATATTTTGAATATAAATGTCATATTTTTCACAAAAGGATAACATATTTACCAGAATAAACTTTTCATCTAAAATTTGTGTGTCTAATGCAAAATCTATGATGTTTATATTCAAAATGATCAGCAAATTGTAAGAATTCCAGCAATGTAAATTATATTCTGGCGGATAATTTGTATGAATTTTATGAGCTAAAACAAATATCTTCAGTTAATAAAAAAAAAATATTCTTCGACACTATCTGTCAATCAAAGTACCCCAACTTTGCCTTCCCTTTTCCAACCGCGTGGTCAGTCCCAACCCTCCCCACCCCCACCAATCCTCCATTCAAGAGTTTTAACATTTAGTATTAAATAATACCTCAGATTAAAGTTAGGATAATATAATTGACATTGCTGGATTCCTTGTAAGACCAGGAATATTTTGAATATAAATGTCATATATTTGGACAAAAGATAACATAATTATTTAGAGAACAATTTTTATCTAAAATTGTATGTTTAATGCAAAAATATATGTTGTTTATATTCAAAATGATCACCAAATTATAAGAATTCCAGCAATGTAAATTATATTCTGACCGGGTAATTTGTATGAATTTTATGAGCTAAAAAATATCTTCAGTTAATAAAAAAAAATAATTCTTCACGGGGTAACAGATGGTCGGTCGGTCGGTCCCTCCTCCCCCACCCCCCACCAACCGTCCCAAGGAGATGTGTGGGATAACCACTAAATTTTAATAAATAATACCTCAAACTAAAGTTAGGATAATATAATTGACATTGCTGGATTCCTTGTAAGACCAGGAATATTTTGAATATAAATGTCATATATTTTGGACAAAAGATAACATAATTACCTAGAGAACAATTTTATCTAAAAATTGTATGTTTAATCCAAAATATATGTTGTTTATATTCAAAATGATCACCAAATTATAAGAATTCCAGCAATGTAAATTATATTCTGGCTGGTAATTTGTATGAATTTTATGAGCTAAAACAGGCAGTCAGGCAGGGTGGCGGGTGGGGTGGTCGAATCTAAAATAGCTCTCAGGCGGACACTCACCGCCGGACCTCACGCGTATATGATGAAAAATGCCGCGTTAAGTGAAAGTTCAGCTTTGGCAAGGCACAGCGTATATGATAAAAGCGCGTTAAGTGAAAGCGCGTTAAGCGGTACCACTGTATATATATATATATATATATATATATATATATATATATATATATATATATATATATATATATATATATATATATATATATATATATATATATATATATATATATATATATATATATATATATATATATATATATACACACACACACACAGTAATACCCAGCTTACTGCGGTTTACAGCTCGATTTCACGTATCTGTGATTGCCTCGCCAAACTGAACTTTCACTTAGCGGGTTTTTCACGTATCGGCGCAGAGTGTCGGCTGAGCTATTTTAGATTCGCCCACCGCCACCCTGCCTGACTGCCTGCCTGCCTGTTTTAGCTCATAAAATTCATACAAATTACCGGCCAGAATATAATTTACATTGCTGGAATTCTTACAATATGATGATCATTTGAATATAAACATCATAGATTTTGCATTAGACATACAAATTTTAGATATAATGTTTACTCTGAGTAAATATGTTATTTTGTGCAAAATATATGACATTTGTATTCAAAATATTCCTGGTCTTACAAGGAATCCAGCAATGTCAATTATATAATCCTAACTTTAGTTTGAGGTATTATTTATTACTAAAAGGTAAATATTCTGGTTTTTCCACACATCTGGTAGGGACGGTTGGTGGGGGTTGGGGAGAGGAGGACCGACCGACCATCTGTTACCGTCATGAAGAATATTTTTTTTATTAACTGAAGATATTTGTTTTAGCTCATAAAATTCATACAAAATACCTGGTCAGAATATAATTTACATTGCTGGAATTCTTACAATTTGGTGATCATTTTGAATATAATCATCATAGATTTTGCATTAGACATACAAATTTTAGATGTAATGTTTACTCTGAGTAAATATGTTATCTTTTGTGCAAAATATATGACATTTATATTCAAAATATTCCTGTCTTACAAGGAATCCAGAATGTCAATTATATTATCCTAACTTTAGTTTGAGGTATTATTTATAATTTATAAAATTTAGTTTCCCCAAATCTCAGAGGAGGCCAGCAGTGTTGTGTGAGGGAGGAGGTGGAGTCCATTATTTGAATGGACATTAACTTACGAATGTATTTCTCTATTTCTCTTAAGTATTAATTGTGTGCATGTACCATCATAAAATTAGATGTTATTTTACTAGAACATAGTTATTTGTCGTCAAAAGTGAGTTTGAAGTCGGGCAGTTTCTATTGAATTAATCCCATATTCTGTTGTTCACATGATTTCATTAACACGGGACCCTGTGGGTTTTATTGACGTTAAATTGAGAATTTACTATTGTGTATATATATATATATGTATATATATATATATATATATATATATATATATATATATATATATATATATATATATATATATATATATATATATATATATATATATATATATATATATATATATAT